GTCCAATTTCGTACGCATCCTAGCCCTCGTCATCGCGGTGGGACCCCATCTAATTACAAACAGCAATTTCCTTGATGCCGTTTCCAAGAAAATTCGTCACTTTCAGTACCATTGACTGGGATTCCCTGCGTGCGAACACCGAACGCGCCGTCCGCGGCTTTGTCCGCCGCGGAAACGCGTCGTCACTGGCAATTACGCGAATGCCAGTCAGCCATGACATCGACAACCGACCCATTTTTCACCGTGTTCGCGCACGCTGACCGCGGGGAAGAAATTCTTGACGCTTTCGTAACAGTTCCGCCATTAAAGATTTATGTTGTTGCTTTTGCGACACTCGGCGCACGTTAAACGGCGTGCCACGCACCGCAACGGATGACAAATATTTGCGGAGCTCCTTTAAAAAGAAGAGGAAGAAGAAGGAAAAAAAACCGACGAGCCTTCCTTTCACATTTTTCCCCCCGCGTTACGAGTCTTTTTGTACCACATGTAAAAATGGGGGGGGGGAGGGAGGGGAAAATTCGGGAACCATCGTGTTCGATCGAACATTTTCCCCCCGACAATAATAAATGACAAAAATCGATACGCGTGCCTTTGTAAATTTAACAGGGCTGAACGTTGGCTTTCCACACGGTGCACGTACCACGGAAAGGCGGTATCTGCAAGCAGCGAGAGACAGGTAACTACAACGCACATGTGTACACACGTGTTCGCTAATGGCTGCATATTGATGGCGAGCGGAGAGCTGCGAGCAAACTCGACGGGTACAAATAACGAAGTATTGTATCGGCTTCGAAATAAATTTCTCTCCCCACCTTTCGTCGGGTAGATTCTCACCCTTCGCCAGTATTATTGTTCGGAACGAAAGACCGGAGAATCAAATTGAAATTTAAGGCTCCCGAAACGGTCAACCTCTTTTGGGATGAATTATTTTTTTCTCAAAAAAAAAAATTATAATTCTATCGAGGCTGGATTAAATTCTCGAAAGTGTAACACGTTCTTGGATACACATCTCTTGCCCTACATTCGCCGTTTTCCGACCGCTAGTCTGAATTTTCTGCACGATAACGCCTTCGTTCGTGCAACCGCAAGCACTAAACAATAATTAAATGAGCAAATCGTGGCGATATTAACGTGGACATCAAGGCCCTCAGACCTTAATCCTATAGAAATCTTATGGACCCAATTGGTATACAATGTGTATAATAATTGCTAACTATTCAACGACATGAATGATCTTAAAATAGAGATCGCGAACGCTCGAAACCGAATAATAACTAAGCAGCTGATAGAGCTCTCCAAGTTCAATGTAAAGTTGAAGAATTTTAATCTTAAAATCTGGTAAAACCTAACAAAAAGAAACACTATTGTTCTGGAAATAGTCTTAACCTTCATTAAAAGTGAAAATGCCCTTAAATTGTTATTTATTCCTTTACACAATCGTGACCAGAGAGCATTTGTAAATTACGTTCGTCTTTATCTCGCCTCGTTTCAATTCATTCGCACCGTTTGCGACCGGACAAAGAAGAACTTCTATAACATTGAAAGAGGTACGCTTCGTTAAGAATTCAATTAAATCCTACAGTTAATTCTAAGAAAAGAGAAAAGCTTTTTCGACCTGACCTTGCGAGAAGGAGAAGTAATCAACGGTCGTACAGCTCTCGTGAACGTGGAACAGATTACTCTTTCAGGAGGCAGCTTTCAAGGGTGAAGAGCACTCTGGCGAGATTTCTAGTGCAACGCCGAGGAAACACACACATACGTAAAGGCAGCGCACAAAAGTCGAGTTTTTCACGAGGCCGGCCATTTGTTTAGGCATTAGCGTAGCGGCCGTACCTAAAGTGCACCGAAGTTCCAGCTCCGGTTACGTTCATTAGCAGGTACTCGAAAGCCAAGCAGGAATGCCGTGTACCGGCGGGGTTTTTTCTTCCTTTTGAGTTTGTTCATGGTTGAACGCCACAAAGGGCCAAGAAGCGGTATTTGTCGTTCGTTATAATCGATTCTTCAATTTTATTCTAACCGGAATCGAGGAGTGAAACGGAGCGTGAACTTCCTCGCCAAAATTGCAAGCTAGAGTTTGCTGCCCGACGACGCGTCGCCACTTCTCTGCCTCACAATGATCCACCCCTTCCCCCCTTTCTCACCCTAGCCAAGCAACGATAATATCGGGAGAACAAAGACATTGTACGACTCTGAAATAATAAGTCGAATCGCCAGCCGCGATTTCACCCAATCTTTCAAAGCGGTTGGTTGATCGCGCGGACTTGATAAACCGGCCCTAACTTCACCATCGCGGGTCGGCGATGCTTTCACGCATCTCACCACGAAGAGTTATCGACTTTTAAGTGGGCTGAGATTTGCATCTACGTGATCATTATTCTTAGCGAGAGAAACGTTGCGTTTTCCAGCGCCGTTCTGGCCCGCCGCTTTGAAAGTCAAAGTGCATACGCTTTATGATCGTTTGTCATGCACGTGATAGCCCGCGTTACCTATTGTGAATACGCGTGCTCCGCTGATCGGAGTATTGTTACGTCACGGACCAGTGGCCTTGTTAACGAGACAGAATCTTCTAATGGTCGTCAGAGAACCGTTGGTAAAAAGTTCAGAGAAGTTACCGGACCTTGATACAGAACCAATCGATGGGTAAAGTATTCTCTGCGTGAAAAGACGATATACCACACTAGATGAGATGTACAAATAGCTGTTACATTCAATGTAATTTTACGAACAATTACATGGGGACACCACAGTCTAGAGCCATATTATCATTTCGGTATCACCCGCAACATTACCAACAAGCAATAGAAAACGAACAAAGCGCCAGCTATGGTGGGAAATGAAATTACAGGATAATTTTACCAGATAATTTATACTTCACGTTTATACTCAAGAATAAAATATAGCCTTCGCTTAATTGGAAACTGGATGAATAAAAATCGAATGCGACTTACCGATCGTTGACTATGATAAAGCAATATCTTTCGACGGCTCGATGACGATGCTGCTGCCCAGTGAAATACATCAGTGAAATCATCTGCATGGTCCTACTGACTTCCAAGATGTAAGGACGAGATTTAAAAACTATAAATCACAAGAAAATAATTATAACCTACCGTGAAAACTACAGACATAATTTAATATAAATGATACTGTGTTCAAATTTAATTACAGGTTTTTGATAATTTAGAAAATTTTTAATATTTCGCAAAATTTGAAAGTATTACTTTTTACTAAACGTTCATGAAATAAAGTAGAATGATACTTACACTTTGTACTCGTAGATTTTCGCCCTAAAAAAAATGGAATAAATAACACGCGTTCGAAATTTCGATAATCTTCTCATTAAAAGGAATATATTTTCATGGAGAACTAAAGCAATCACATTGTTATTCCCCTCTACGCAAAAATCGGAAATCTGTCTAGAATTCATGATGATTTGGCATGGAATATTTCATTAACAAAATTGTATTATTTTGATCTGACGTGGATATTCGTTAAAAACAAATATATTTTTAATTCAGTTGCACAATGTTACGCTAATACAAAGGTGATAGAGTTTCGAAATGTTGTAAAACATTGCTTTTCGGGCGCAAAGGTTGTCATGCTTTCGCGTAGCGTTTTCAAACAAGCTCCATCGATTATTTTACATACAAGCGTTCGTTACACAAAATGTTATCGATTACCTCGGCTGCCAAAAGGCTTAGGCAGAAAAATAGCGTAACGCCTCGGTTGAAATTTCTCACGCAAGTCCTTTGAAACGGCCATATACCAATGGAGGCTAAAAAACGCTTGTTCAACACGTACTCAGGCTGGTTGAAGAAATCCATATTGACCGTTTCCGTACTTTGTCCGTTTCTTTCCATCGCGATCGCAAGAAAAGCCAAAGAAGAACTGATAGCGACTGACGACGCTAGCCAGTCGAGCAACGAAAAATCGATCGTTTAATCATTAATAAGTCACACGAACAGGTGCAGAAAAGACAGCGAGGCAAATTAGTTGCAATTTCAAATTCTATTCTATCACTATTATCTGTGTCTAGAAAATGACCGCTAATCAAAGAAGAATCCCTCGGCGGCGTTTTATTCGAGACATATGGTTTAATTAGTCAGTCTCTCACTATAGCGTTATTGCAAGCGTCGAATACTGATTACCTTTTACGTTTACGTTTCATTATGTCGCAGTGCGAGAACGATTTTCATCACGAAAGGAATCGTGCAATTTGTGGTGTCTTCGCGATACAACGGACCGAGTAGAACCGACTTAGTAAAACCTCGATGATGAACTTGTGACATTTATCTTTACGCGATTTTTTATTTACATACATATATTAATTCGTGATTCTATACATTGGTTGAACCTATGAGTTTCTTAGTGAATGCAGAAACCATTGGTATATGAAAATGTTGCACGGTCAGGTCTGACGTTTTACATGTTTTTCTTCATGAAACATTTGTTATATAAATTGTTGTATAAAAGATAGATCTTCTGGGATTCAATTATCAAAGAAAGGTTGAATTTTTGTTCCACGTAGGTGGGTATGTAGTTAGAAAAAAGAACAAGCTATGCGTGTTTTCTCCTTGAAATGGTTTGTATTTTATATCGATTCTACTTTTCCTTTTGGAAATATCGTCGTCTAAAGAAAGGCGCAATTTTTTCACTTCTCTCTCTCGCTCGTGCACCGTGCTAACCTACCCCAATATGGTGATCGAGTGACGTGTATTTCCAAGTATTTACCATTTTCGAAAAGTCTAACAAATTACATTTTAACGGACGTCTCATTTTCTATTCAATTAATATACCGATATATTATAATTTATACTGTATTCTGTGTGTACTTTGAAATACTTCTTTGATGGTATATACAAATACCTGACAATAAAATGACAAAGCTTTCTGCAATACATATTGCGATGAAAATATAATGTTTTTTTAATAAGTGTGTCGGGAGACCAACTTTGATTTTATTAAGATCGTACGTTCCACGTAAGTACCTAACCTCCATAATGAGAAACATCACGGACACGTCCTTCTGTATTAATAATACAATAATACAAACATATTGTGAAGATTAACATTCTTATCAAGAAAGATCGGAAGTATAAAGAAATCTGACAAACCAGATTTGAGGATTCGATAATTTGGCATGGAATAAAACTTCTCTATTTTTACACTAAGCAATTACAAAATTGGAAGCTTCTTTTGTCGAGCTCTTACGTGTTTTCTTAATCTTTGTAGCTTTAATTGTATTTGCATGCAACGCAGCTTTTGCAACTGTGAGGATTTTTACAGTTTGCATTTTTTTCAGCTTAATGCGATTTGCGGTTTGTGGGGAGTTGATTATGATGCTGTAATAGGGGGTATTCCACCGATCGCAGCCATGTTCCTTGGTTTATCGATGTACTTTAACGGAATTTTTAATGCAAACAAGGTACCTCTTCAAGATTAGGGAAAACAACGCATTTTTGCCAATTAACCACCCCTTTTTAAGGAACAATTTTCTAAAAATGAAATTTCTTTCTCTCAAACTGTTTTTAATCGGAATGAAATCGTGAGACTATAGTACCAATTGATAATGGCATGCTTCGATGAAAATACGATTCGATAAAACGATTTCTTCTTTTTTTGTCAATTACACCGTTCTTAAATTTAGTCAAACGATGTGTTATATATTGCAGGTCAGGAACATACTTTTATCTATTAAAAAAGATTTTAACCGCTATAAAAATTACCCTGAAAATGCAATTCTACACAATTATACAATGCAAGGAAAAAAATTCATGATTTACTACGCGTGTAAGTGCTTTCTTCATTTTGTTTACATTTGACAGTCATTTTATTTCGTTTAAAATGTTTACTATTTGTAGTTTGAACTGTTAAAGGTACCTTTGCATAAGCATTCTTATTCTTTCGAAAATCATTTGATAATTAAATTTTAAGACTGCAGAATCTTAAGAATCATATTATTATACTGTTGTTATATATTTTGTCGTTTAAGCATACATTTATGTGACGCTACTCGTCTACATATTAATACCAACAATACATCTTGTAATTGACATTGTTTCGCCGACAAATCGATCCCATGGTTTTCTTTTTGAATTGGACTATGGCGTAAATAGTCAGCAATATTTCTATTATTTAACCATACACTCGTATATAGGAACTGCTATAGTATGTCATTTGCTTGTTTCTTGTTATACCATGTTCGTGATGTATGCCCAACATGCCTACGCGTTGTTTGCAATTGTGAGGTGAGGGTTTAGATGCTCTAAACATTTAGTTAATAATTACAGAAAAAAAAAATCAATATACATTGCCCAAAATAATTAGATTTTATATTTATTTTATTTATTAGCCCAATTATTTTGGGCAATGTATTGGATGTGTGGAAATAAGTAACAACTGCATGTGCACGATTAAGCAACAACATTGCATATTAATTACATTCTAGTGCAAATATATTGTTCTTCCCAGTTATCAATTGAGAACTGTACACACTTCCCATAAAAGTAATTTAATAAACGTAGAAGACGATCGTTCGTTTGAGAAATACAAACGTACAAAGTTCACACTAGAGGAATATGAAAAGTTACACGATAAGTTGTTTGCCTGTATACAGGGGCATAAAAACGCCTTAAAGTTAGTATACTTTGCGTACTTTGCATTCGACAATATTTTTTTTAAACGTTTTCTTTCTTTACCGAAACAAAGAAATAATTATGTAGCTTTTTCTATCAGGTATTCATATTTTCTTGAATCGTTATTCACGAAATTAATGATCTTTCAACTGTTCTTCAGTGTGCTATGTCTCAGTACTACAGGCATTTACGTAAGTATTTTCTGACTGAAATAAATAGATCTTGCATTTTGGAAGTATGTAGCAATTGAAACCGGAAAATTGGTACATAATTTGTTCCGAATAGCTGAAAACCGTGAAATTTTATTGAATATAGAATTCTTGAATGTTCTTGTTTTTAGACTGTACTGAATTTGAACAACGTAAGCGCCGTGATAAGGAATGGTACATTCGCATTTGCACAAGTATTTTATATATTCTCGCTCTGCTTTCCTGGACAAAGGCTGGTGGATCACAGCAAAGAAATATATACTGCTACGTAAGAATATATGTAAAACATTGTTGTGATCGGGTAACTTGATACATTTTACATTTTTATCCACGTTCGATGCACTTGTGTATAAGTGAGTTATTGTGTAAACTAACTTTTGCACGAAGAAATTAATGAATACGTATACCTTTAGATGCGAAATAATGTGGTACAAACTTTCTAAAAAGTCAATATCTTTGTACAAATTTTTGCTCGTCAGAAGTTTAGTATCTAGCAAATTAACAGCTTTAAAAGTGGTACCGTTGACAATGGAAACATTTATCATGGTAAAAAAAATATTCATTGTTAAGTTTGCATATTTTAAATACTTTTATTACATTTTTTGAAAATATATTTTTAGATTATTCAGACAGCTATGAGTTATTTTACCGTGTTAAAATCAACGATCGACACTCGCAATGAAGAAACTAGTTTCTAATAATGTGCATAGGATGAAAAGTTTTGGTAGTGCGCATACATTGACTGTATAAGTAAAGAAAATTAAAAAAGCAACACGAGAACCTTTCTTAACATTCTATAATTTTTGCAACAATATTTTAGACGTCGAGCATTTAACACGAAATCCTACGCACTTTCGAGAAAAAAAATTCATTACCTAAAATATAGTAATTTCATTTTTCTGTCTCACTTCCTCTTGTATTCATTTCTGCAACCTGTTGGTAATATTGCGAGTGACATGAAAATAGTGCTAAGAAAAATGGGCTTAAAAAATACATTGGGAGAAAAATCTACTCGTATACCTCGTCTCTGACAATACTCTAGAATCTTTGATGAATCAATGAGAATCGAAACTAACCTAGCGAAGAAGCTCTATATTTATGATGACCTATGCAAAGCGGATCGCAGCCAATTTGCTAATATTATTTAGTTTTTAATTAATAATTGCATTACCCAGCTAAGAGTGATAAGATTATTAATTAAACGCTAAATAATATTACCCAGGTCTCACCACGTGGAGGTTGCTGCGAGTGGAGACCCGAAGGGAGATGGATGGAATCAAAGTTCCATCGATCTTCCTTTTAGCTAAGCTTAGCTGGATTACTAAACTAGAGAAATAGAAGGAAGCAATGTTCCTTCGATCTTCTAGTTTAGTTGTACCAAGTAATTATTTCGTTTGAAAAGGGGTGAAGCTATATTGTGGGATACGCGACGCGACGCGATGCTGAACCGTGCGGCAGATCTTCGGATCGAATCAACACTGCCCTTGGTAGATTGATTCCTATTTCTAGCAATCGATCTATCATGGGTAGGCGACTAGATCTTTCGGACAAACTGGACGGCCGATCACATGTTTCGATCGATGAAACAGCGGTGATCGAAGCTAGGAACCAGAGAACGAGTCGAGAGAAGCTACTTGTTAAATAATTACTTGGAAATATTGGGAGACGCGTACGATAGGGACTTAAAATTAACGTCGAAGCTCAAGTCTGGTCAAGTTGAAACTAAAATTCGGACGATAGAAGGAAACAAAGTTCCTTGGATGTACCAAGCAATTATTTGGTTAAAAAGAGGGACGAAGTTAATTTGAGGGACACGCGACGCGACACGACGCGACGCGAAGCTGAACCGTGCAGCGGATCCGAGGATCGAACCTACTGCCCTTGCTAACTAGATCTCTACAGGATAACGGACGGCTGCGACTCCGAATCTAAGGTCTCCATTGCTCCAACGCAACCCGCCGGGAGCCCGAAGGACCCGACTCAAGTTGTCTGACAAAGAGAGAGTACCTCTGTTTCAGTGTCGACTTCCGCTGGAAGGTATGCGTTTCCGCAGGATACGGAAACTCCACACCTTCCAGCAAAGTACCATTTTCCCTGGATCTAGCTACCAATGGGAAGGCGATTAGATCTTTCGGATCAGCTACACGGCCGATCACATGTTTCAATCGATGAAACAGCGGTGACCGAAGCTAGGAACGAGGGAACGAGCGAGAGACAAGCTACTTATTGAATAATTGCTTGGTAGGACGCGGAGATACGTATAATAAAGAAGGCTTCGACGTTAATTTTAATACTCGCGACGAAGCTTAAGACTAATCAACTTGCAATTAAAGGTCCCTCGGCGGTATGTGGCGTTCTCCCTCGATGCCCTTGCGATTAACCCAAATTTAAACTGAAATCAAAACTCATATGTATATTAGTGAGATATGGTAGGAAATTTAATAAACACTTTAAAATGATCTATCACCTAGCTAAAGGGGCTAAACGTAAAAACAGAAATCTTATATTGATCAGTGCCATCGAAACAAATATGGCATATCCATCGACACCATGTTTTACGTATCAAAACGAACATTCTTCTAATGATCAGTATCATCGAAACGAATACAGTATATACATCGACACAATGTGATACAACTCGAAACGACCATTCGTAACAACGATAGGAACTTGGATCGAGACACCAAATTGAATCAACACCAAACAATCAAACGAAATGGAAGAATCAAAGAAAGTACCCCCGCAGAATATTACGAGAATTCGAGCAAGAAGGTAAAAATAAAAATTCATGGAATCGTGTAGAAACGAATATAGTATATGATTGAAAACAATACTACATTATTATATCCTGCAATACTATACATATCAAAGCAATCACATAAATTCGACAAACAATGTAAAAGTAGAAACATAGAAAAGGAACATTCGTAATAACCAAATAAAATCAGATAGATAAATACAGTTGAATTCACATCAAACAAACAAATGAAAATAATAAAATATAAATAAGTGGAGTGGACTTACTACTTGTTGTCAGTACATAGGGTAGTTACCATAAGGGCCAGCTGTAAAGTAAGAAAATATTCATATTATAGCAACATCGGTTAGACAAACAAGGCAAAATCAGTTCATTGAAGCAAAATTGGCATCAAATGATAGAATAGAAGAGGGGAGAGAATTTTTAAACAGTTCTTACCGTTGGTCATCACCGTCCGGCACTGGTCAGTAGTGGTCAGTAGTGGCAGGAACGCGAATCATCACTGGTCAGTAGTGGTCAGTAGTGGTCAGCCATGGCCAGCTGTGGTCAGCGCTGGCCAGTAGTGGTCAGCAGCGGCCAGCAGAGGTCAGCAGCGGTCCCCGGTTCTCCTCTGGCCATTTGTACACTCCCGAATTCGCGACGCGACTGAAGAAATCTTCGCAGTGACCCTGCTTATATGCCTAAGGTGATGAAAGGGTGGGGAGACCAGTCAGAGCCAAAGTTGAAGATAACAGGTAAGACTGTCGTGTCTACAAAGAAACTATTTCGATTGGTCCCACCTCTTGACCATTTCTGGATCTTCACTGGACCGCTGACCTTGATGTCCACCTCACTGTTGACCACCAGTGACCATAAGCTAGTCATTGTTGATCATCGACCCATTAAAACCATTACGAAGATTAGAGCCTTCTTACGAGGATTCCCTTACAATTTGATGCATGATCTATTTAACATTTTGTTCCACTTTGGTAGAGTGTGTCTCGTTAATTTTTGTCTTTTTGTACGTCAGTTCCAACAATTGCCATACGTGAGCGAAAAATTCGGAGGTGATTTTACCGTCCTCTTCTCATGGATGGCGGTCAGTTGAGAAACCATTCACTGAATTAGTAGTGATAGGCAAAGAGCTGTAGTTTTGTGTAAATGCATGTGAGTTGACTATGGAAGGGATTAAAATTCATTTCTGAATCTGTTGGTAACGTTGCGAGTGACACGAAAATGCTAATGGGTCCCGGGACTCCAGAGAAACGGGCCGAAAAAATACATTAGGTGAAAGGTCTACTCGTATAATTCGTCTGTGATACAACAACGAAGTTTTCACCTTTACCGACTGCGGTGGTTCTGTTTGATGGGGTTCGGGGAGTCGTCGTCTTTAAACGTAGAGTACGCTAAACAATTATTAATTTTTCACAAGGTCAGTGCTTCAATCTGTAAGGCGTAATTTTCACTAAATATTAGGTAATATATAATATCACGGACGAGGTACAAAATATACCTAACATATTATAGGATCATGTTCCTATGTTCTGAAATACCGATCGCGTTATACACATATCAGAGGACCACAGACGAGGTATAGGACATATATCTCGTCTGTGCAGAGGACTTTCGTGCTCTCTACAATTTAGAGCGGTCGGTACGGGAATTATATTCAACTCAATCATCGATGTTGGTAAGGTCAACAAAATTAAAAATGTCTGTTATAATTAATCAAATACCTGTATTTTTGTAGAAGATTTTAGTATACCAATGCTGTCTTTTAAATAAAACTATATTTTTAGTATTGTTTTACAGTTGCTTTTTCTATTATATATTTGATTTCGCTTGAAAAGATTTTCTAGAAACTTGTATGTTTACAGTTAATATATTGCGTTGGTATAATTTTTATTTGTAATAGCATTTATTTGTAGTATTGAATGAAACTTCAAGCAATTTTATATTAAACTTTAATTTTAATTCTAGCCACTACAATTGTTACGATCTAATTCTGTGCTGAGTCGATAACGTTGAAAATCACACTACAATGGTTCGGGGATTCCTGAACTTCTAAAATTTGGTACACAAAAAAATGCATCGAGTGATAGGTCTACATATTTTGTGCCTCGTCCGTGCTAATATGATTAATGATTTACGATTATAATTACATAGTAATCATTCTATAATTATACGGTAATTACGCCATAATTGCACTGTAATTACACGACTATTAAACAGTAATTATACTGTAATTACGCGATAATTACAGTGTAATTGCGCTGTAATTAGACGGTAATTGCACGATAATCATAATCGTAAATCTATTTCTACCAAATCGTTGGTCTATCTACTTCGCCTGCGATGGAACGAGGTAGAATATTTTTTATCCTTTACGCCTTAATTGTTGCTACTAATAGCGCTATGGGCTTATTCTATCCTAAGTCGATAACGTCGGTTGCGACATAAGAATGGTAAAGAGCATATCCTCCGAGTCGTGAAGCATTGTCTTGCATCAGATGATCACATTGATCAATTTTAAACCAAGAAAAACATGTTTACTTATCTGATTAGAGATCCAGATCCGAAGATGAATTTTCCTCTTCAAAATTAGTGTCCATACGAAAGAATTAATCACGATTCTCGATTAATAAGCGAACACGGAATATCTTTTACGAATTTTTATTATAGTTTTGCTACAGCTTGCATATATACAAAGGTCAACCTATCGTACTACGCGAACGAACAAGAGGTATTTAACAAAAAGGTGTGTAAAAAAAGATTCGTAAGCTTCTACGAATAGCTGACGTTGCGGGGACCAATCAACAATCATAAAGCACTTCAATTAACAGTAAATGATCTTCCAATACTAAGGAAATCGAACCTAAAAACGTCGGATAGGGAATAACGTCTGGCACCAAAATTATGTTTTTGCGCGTTTTCATATCTGTTGTTTGTTTTTTCACAGATATAAAACGCTTCGCGTATCGTGATAATCAGTTATAAAATACGAACATTTGT